CACATTTTGATTGTGTGACTGTGGGGATGCTGCAATGGTCATAAGTGTGAGGACTGGTTGTAATTGACATTTTTCAGTGCCGTTATAACTTTGAATGATTGTTAAATGAATGATTGTAAGTTGAGAACTACCTGTACAACACCAGACACATTACTGACATGACAGAAATGCCCTACTGGTCTTCTAACATAAAAAACGGGGGAGAGGCAATATATGTTAAGAATTCTAAATGAAAATGCTGATACTTTCAGGAAAGTAATTTAGTATGTGAAAAACATGCTTATTGTTTGTTTCTCATCCCATTTTCAGAGCTGCTTAAGACAAGGGAAACTTTTTTATAGAGATTCTTCTCCTTAAAGGAAACTGCATGAATTCCACACACAGTGAAGTCATATGCAAACTGGATAGGCATCATTGTTGTGGTTTATTAAATAAACACATTCTTCATCATCGTTCATACAGTTTCTTCCATTAAGCTTTGCGTAGAAGTAATATGAGTTGCAGTTTAAAAATCTTATTATGTTTCAGGCATATGCATAATGCCAGTCTTTTTCTATTTTAATCCCCTCTGCTAGAATAGCGTACCAGTATTTACCAAAAAGGAAATAGATACAAATATACAAAATGACTTTTTCTATGACTTAAATGGGAATTGCTTCTGTGATATGAAGAAATCCTCCCCTCCCTTTCCCACTTCTTTCAACATGGAACAATTTCAGTCAATTTAAAAGTTATGTACTTAATTTCAGGAAATAGTTCCCAAAATTGTTCAGTTGTTAATTCTGTGTGTGTGCGTGTGTGCGTGCAGCAATGTTTTCCCCCACTGAGGGGGTGGCTTGTTAAATAGCTTTCATTTAAAGGACAGCAACCGTGTGCCGAAAAAATAAAATTAACTAATAAAATGCTCATATGAAATATGCCTCACTTAGTATGTATTACTAGAATTTCATCTTTCCCCTGCTTGTTTTTGAGACAAAGCAAAAAATGTGATGCAACTATTGATTTAAATTTAAATTTTTATTGCAGCAATACTGTGGTATTTAATTATGCCCTAATACCAGCTCTGGATCTAGATGTACTAGGGAAGAAAATAACTGGCTGGCAAAAGAATACACATATTTCATCATTATCTTTAAAAATCAGGCATATGTGCATTGTCACTTATTTGTGTGTCAACTCTAAATGTCCATACGAAGTTCAAGAAAGCTGAACCCAAGTCTTTTGGCAATGTTTGGCATAGACAGAATCCCTTTGGACAAAAGGGAGGGCTTCAAGCTGCCCTGTTCAAGCCTTGTGATTTTCAAGAGCAGTTAAAACATTTGTTCAAATGCTAGGGAAGAGCTTAGCCTGTTTACCCTTTATTTTAAGACTATGAAGCTGATATCTTTCCATGTGACAGTAGCATCAGATCTATTTAGAGGATTGTAAACATGAAATCATCCACAGAGATTTATTTGATTCCTGACCTGACCTTATCCAACTGTTACAGAGTCTTACTTCTACAAAGACGTGACAAGCTATGGGTTAGCAGCATCTCAACCTCCAAGAATAAGCTGCCAACTTTCCTCTGATCTACTTCATTGTACTTTTTTACTGTTAAGACTTTTGAGATTGACAATATATGCACTTTCAATTTAAATGGACAAGAAACCAGGCTAAAGAGCAGCATTCCTAAGAAAGGACAGTTGCCTTTTCCCATAATTTTCCTTTTCTTAAGTAACTTACATAGTTAGGGTATATCCATTGGTCACACAAACTCCATAATCCTTCAGCTAAGCATAACAGTAGCTTTGCAGGATCTAGCCAAAGTCTTTTTTAATTCAGTATTTTGCTTCTCATAGCAATCAACCAGATGTCCTAATGTTCTGGGTTGCTGCCAGTTCAGCCCGGTTCAGCAGAACTGGTCGTGGAATTCAGGTCTGGGTCATAGAACCGGCAGTGACCCAGGCGTGCCACGCCCCTGAACCGGTTCCCTCACTGCCACCTGGCCGCCGCCATTTTGGATTTTAGTAACTGCGCATACGTAGTTCACTGTAAATTGTTCTGTGCATGCACAAAGAACAATTTACATTGAACAGTGCATGCGCACACAGCATGCGTCTGGCACAGATTGCAAACCAGCAGTAATGCCGGCAGCAACCCACCCCTACAATGCTTACAAGCATCAATTGGAACTATGCATCTCCAGCTGGATTTTTTCCTCTGCAACTGGAGTTTAGGAGTCACATAAAGTCTTCAAGGCTAATAGCCTTTGAGAAGTCATGACCATCACAAATTTATCTATCACCTTTTATAGCCACCTAAGTTGATGGCCATCACCACGTCCTGTGGTAATAAATTCTACATATTATTTCCTGTATCAAGAAGTAT